CCCAGCCAGCCTTTCCCGGCCCTCTGGTGGCCACCAGGAGGGAGTCAACATGTCATTTAACAAATTCCAGCCAGGTGCTCAAGTCCTTGGACTTTGGCTAAACTCTTTATTTTTCTTCTCTTTTCGTTTTTCTTTTTAGAGTTTAAAGTGAAAGAGTGTATTAGTGATGCACACTAAACACTTTCTTATTCTGTCTTTACAACTGCTATGTGGAGCAAGGCTTACCCTCCTTGTAGCACAGATGGGGAAACCGAGGCACAGAGAGGCGAACAGACTCGTTCCAAATTGCTCCACAGTGTGAGATAAAACCAACAAAAGAATACTGGGTGCCTCCGGCTAGTCAGTAGAGTCTTAGAAACAGAGTCTCAGTCTTGGAAACAGTCTGAGTGCAATGGAAGGGAGTAGAACATGGTGTGGGGCTGCGAGGCTCATTTTATGTGTCAGCTCGACTGGGCTAACCGATGCCCAGACAGCCGGTTAGTGCTGTTTCTGGGTGTGCCTTTGAGGGTCTTTCCAGAGAGATCTGTGGGCTGAGCGAAGAAGACCCCCTCACCAATGTGGAATCATTCAATCTGCTGAGGGTCTACATGGAACGGAAAGATGGAGGGAGGGCGAATCTGCCCTTCCCTGGAGCTGAGACACCGTCCTCTCCGGCCCTGCCGCATCGGTGCTCCTGCCTCTCAGGCCCACCCTGCCCACCGCAGCAGCCACTCCGGTCCCTCCACCTCCCTGGGCTTGACCTTCTTTCAGGGTCCATGGGTAAAACACAGCACATATTTACACGAAAAAGGATTCGTTGTTTATCTGAGGTTCAGATTTCACTAGGCATCCTCTCTTTTATTTTAGTTTTTACTAAATTTGGCAACCCTAGCTTCTTTCTTTGTGAGACCAGGTGCCACCAAAGTCATGGGCATATGAAAAGGCATCAGGCCGGCTGCTGTCATTACACAAGGCTCCCTGGCCAGGACACACAGAGGAGCAAACCTGGGTGGAAGGGGACACAGCGTTCTAACCCTGGATGGGCCGGGTGTGAGTCAGCCCGAGGGGAGGGTGAGAGATGTCCTGACTGAAGTAACCACAAGAGGATGCCTCCCTGGCACCAGCAGTAAACAGGAAGTTCCCCCCCCCCCGCCCCGCCTTGTTACCACCCTTAAAAAGATTCTAAACCTGGATTCAGAACAGTAGCTGGTGTTCGGCAATTCTAAACTGGATCACCGAGCTCCCAACCCAGAGGTGCCTCCAGTTTTCCAGCCCCGAGGCCAGAGACAGACACCTACCCACAGACGCCTCCTGGTGCTAGGACCCAGACCAGAAAGAGAACCCTGCGTGTGATTTGGCAAGAGGAGGAGCTTCCCTGCAAGGCAGCAAGGTGCCCAGGAATGGACGAGGTGCTGGGCGGGTAGGTTTTCAGGAGTCACCCAGGCAGGGCAAGCCTCCTTGCTGTGCTTCTTCAGTGCTGGGGAGGGGGCCCGGGAGGGAACAGTGCGGCTCGTCTGCTCATCTCTAGCCCACTTTCCAGTGGACTCTCCTGTGAGATGGAAGTTTCTCCCACTGCGCAACCACAGTAGCCCACAGTCAGCTCTGACTCTCAGTTTCCCCTTAAGGCGGCCCTGCCCCCACAGCCCACGGCCTGGAAGCAGCCAGCCCCGCCCCCACGGTCTGCCGTGGCTTTTCTGAGTCAGCCTTTGCCCTCGGCCGCTTTACAGGTCTGGTTCTTCTGGTTGAGTTTTTCTTTAATTCCTTGGTTGTCGAAGTTCCGTGCAGTTTGATTTTCTGGTGCTTTTGGTGGTTTATTGATTTCTGATTGGCTGCAAGGAAACAAAGGGTTTCCACCTACACCTCCATCTTGGCTGGAGTCCCCTGGAGAGACATCTTTAGACTCCAAAGTAGGAACACACTTCGAAGTAGGAGAAGCGTGGCTGCCCCCCCTCCCGTTGTCGTCTGGCTGACCTTGGGTTATCACGGCGGGCAAGCACTGCTGAGCCCAGAACCCTCCCCTGCATATGTAATGTGAACCAAAACCAGAAGCGGTCACTCTTTACCAGGGCACCGGGGGGTCTCATGAAGACGCAGCACTGAGCTGTCTGTAGGGGCTGCACAGTCCTGGGCTGACCTCTTCCCCCCTCTGCCAGACAGGACCCTGCCCCACGGAAGCAGTTCCCCATAAGGAGCATAGCTCCCATTCTCCAATATAATATAAAAGGTAATGTCCAGAGCTTTCTGCCAGGGGTGAAGTCTGCCCACAGAAAACTTTGGAGGTGGGCATGGGAGGAAAGACAGGAGGACACTGAGGACAACAGGGCCTGTCCTCACACCCCGCTCATTTTTCCTTAAGACACGAGAGCCCCGTTCTTTCTGGTCTCTGGACTCAGGTTCCTACTGCTTCTATATGGCTGTTTTGCCACAAACCACATCAGTCCTCCTCTTCCAGGAAGCCCACTAGACTGCTCTGCCTCGCAGAGGTCTCCCTGTTCTGAGTTCCAGCAGCAAGCGGAGGCAGAGCCCCAGCAAAGGACATCTGCTTTACGGCATCCAGGCCTGCGTGCTGCCCCTCCTGCCCTGCAGGCGGGGCCAGAGATGGCGACCAGCACGTCCCAGTTTGCCCGAGACTTTCCAATGTCGGCACTGAACGTCCAGCACCCCTGGGGACCCCTCGGTCTTGAGCTACCAGGGTGGTAGGTCACCAGACCTAGCAGGTCACATGGAAACTTGTGAAGGGACACAAATAACATAACAATAAGTTCTCATCGGAAATGGGGCCTCTCGTCTCCCTTGTAATTCTAAAACCTGAGCATGTGAGGGCAAAAAAAAAAAAGGGCCAAATAGCAACTAGTTCCTCATGACCCCAGTCCTGGAAATGTAGCTCTGCCCGGGGCCCAGTGAGGCAGACTCCTGGGTTCCCCCACTTGTGGGCCTCCCGGTGGGGCGCCCTCAGCTGGCGAGCACTCACCACGCGTGACCCCGCCCCATGCCGTCAGAGGGAAGGGACCTGGAGTGCTTCCGAACTTGACTCATCTGGGGCAACCTGCCCACCAGCTAACGAGCTGTGACAGCTACAGAGCCTGCCCCACAGGTGTGCCACGGGCAGGTTTCTGGAGAAGACACCACAAAAACAGAGAGATTTCTGGTTCAATTCTCAAGAACCTTAATTTTTCACTCGAATCCCAGGCACGTGAGCAGGAGGCTGGCCCTGGCCTGGCATAGGCCCTGCAATTTCTTAACAAAAAAGCATCAAAGATCCACCCAACGTGTGCTTCCAAGGGCAGGGTTACAGCCAGAAGTTCCAGTGCCCCGCATTCAGAGGGAAAGCCTTGTTTTTGCTTCGAAACCGTGTTTGTCAAAAATGCTCTGTAAACAGCTGGGCCCAGCAAACGAGGTCCCATGGACCCAAGCCAGTCTGCTGCTTGTTTTTGTAAATAAATTTCATGGGGATGCAGCCATGCTCACTTGCTTACTTTCAGCCATTTTCATGCTACAAGAGTCGAATGGCCGCAACAGAGATTGTACATGTTCCAAAGCCTAAAATACTTAAGTCTGTGATCAGCGAGGAAAAGCTCGCCAATCCCTGCTCGTTGGTATGGAAGCTTCTCACTCCTCTTTGGGCCCCTCGCTCTTTCCCTGCATCAGCTCTGAGCCCAGGGCCTGGATGGATTCGGAAAGAGAGGGGTCTATCTCCTGTGAAAAGAATAAGCCAGTGCCCCGCCCAGGGGTTCCCGCCCCGCCACCCCAGAGCCAACCTGAGCGCCCACTAACCATTCCCCTGAAATCACAACCAGTTGCGGTACTCAGAGCCTTAGCCACCATCCACGGTGACGGTACTGTTTGAGAAGCTCTGTGAGGTTATTACGACCCCTTTTCATAGGCAAAGAACTGAGGCCCAAGGAATTACATGCAAGAGTAAAAAGTAGGTCCCAGGGCTCCTGTCTCTCTCAGCTCTTGGACTTCAGCCTTCAATGTCTTCTTCTCACGCCATCTCCCAAATCCCCCTCCAGGGAGCCCTTGCTCAGAGCTGAGCCAAAGCCCTTAAGCCAACCCAGGGGCCAGAGAGGAAAAGACTGGCAGTTCTCACCCTATAAGAGTTTAAAACTCCTTCGGGGGAACAAGAAAACAAATAGCTTCCTAAGCAAATATATTTATAGCAAGAAGTTAATATCTCTAGTGACCAAAAAGTCCAAATGCTCCAAATGCTCCAAATGCTTCCCAGGGGCACTGCAGACCCATCCCCCACCAGGGCAGTGACTAGCCAGCCCCAGGTTCACAGGTGGACGAGCCAGGCAGGACTGGCCCCGTCTCCTGCCCCAAACCACACTGCTGTCGTGGTCCCCAGGCTGTGGCACGGATGAATTAAGTATCTACTGCAATGCTCCAGAAAGGAGGAGCCAGGAGATACCAAACTGAGGCATCAAGCACGGCCTTTTGCTTGAGGTATGACCTCAAAATCACAATCACTTACTTCTCCTTTCTACGCCTCAGTTTTCCCATGTGAAAAATGGGATGATGAAGCCTACCTCACCGGGCAGCAAAATGAGACCACGGGGCTGATACCATGAAGCTCTCTGCCCACTAGAGAAGTCATTATTTATGTAATTCCTTAAACTGATCACAGCAGACAGTGGCTGGCATTCATTCAGGTGCGTGAGTGCAGGAAGGGAGCCCTTGCTATCAGCCAGTTTCCCTTGGTCTTAGCTCAAACGATGATAACTGAAGCCGCTGATGCTCACAGGCTCCGCCCCCAAGCGTGTCATGGACTCCCCCGTGGGTTCTTGAGTTACTCCACCACGTGGCCGAGGCTGTTCCAACATCGGAGGACCACAGGCCCTGGTCAGAGGCCGTGACGGTGCTCCCAGGCTGCTGTGCTGTGTTGTGGAAGGTGGACAGTAGTGCTTCATGTGGCCTTGGCCCTGGCCCAGGACCACCATGCCGCCCCCACAGTGACCAGCAGGGAGGACCCGTGTTTGTCATTGTGGTGGCCAGCTGTGAACTCCAGCAGTTCGCCAGCGTCAGCAGCAGGATACAGAGACAGTCACACCCTTGAGTGCTGCCTGGGGCAGTGAGGAGCAGCCAGGGTAAAAGGGGGCTGCTGCATACTTGGCAAAGGTCAGAGAGACAGCAGCGATGGTGACTGGAGGGCCCACCAGCCCAGGTGTGTACATGTCCAGAAAGGCTGGCAAGGAACCAAAGGTGTGCAAGATGTAAGCATACCCCCTTCCAGGTTCGGGGAGAAGGGCCCCCAGATCAACGAAGCACAGGGCATCCCGAGTGGCCAGGAGGCCACAGACTGCCCAGGCCACAATATCGGCCCCAGGGCTGCCCGTGTAGACCAAGAGCCCCTGTGGTGACATGAAGATGCCAGAGCAGATGAGAGAGCCAGCGATCAAGGACACACAGCTCCACAGGCCCAGCTCCGTCCTCAGCCTCAGCCCCCCACCACCTGGCTCCTGTCCTGCCACCCCCTCGCCACCATCCCTCTCCTGACTTCGCCCCATCTCAGGACTTCAATGGTCGCTGCGTGCACTTGGGCAAAGCAGATGCTCTGGGCTTCCTGCAGGAGTTAATGACGGTAGCACCTGAGAGCCTCGGCCACGGGCCCGAGAACCAGAGCATGGCGTTTAGAGAGGTCCTGGTGTTCACTGACCTGCCAGCCGCTGTCCAGCCCAGACCCCAGGACAGGCATTTGCAGAAGCTGTTTGCCGGAGCAGCCCAGGAAAGGTCGAGGGAAGAGGGGTGCTAGCAGGAATCCCTGTCGCCCAGTTCCACAGCAGTGTTGCGGAATGACAATTGCATGAGTGCTCTGTGCCAATCGGGCGACTGCTGAGCGATGGCACGCACTGAGCCCCCCAGTCTCTGCAACGGCTTCAGCGGCCAAGCACCAAAGTCCCTGCCTCTCAGGGTCCCAACTGACCGCGTGAGCCCCACTCGAAAGAAAAACCGAGATGATCTAACAAGAGGATCCACATGGTGCAGTGGCGGGGAGGGGTATAAGGGGACTGAAGGGTAATGGAGAAGATATAATAAAGATTCAAGTTTAAGAAATAGTACAGGACAGGGCTTGTCCCCTCGCAGGAGGGGGCAGGTGGGCAGGAGCAGGGGGGGCCGGAGTTCAAGTTCCAGCTCTGGTCTCTCACCGCTGTGCGAGCTGGGACGAGGTCTCCGAACACCACTCCACGCCTCTGTCCATTACAACACCCACCAGATAGAGTTGCTCTGTGAACGAAGCAACAGCCCATTCACAAAAAGCTGGAGTAGCGTATGGAGCGTAATGAGCTTTCCTTACATGTTAGCCATTACTCTCTGGCAAAGAGTCCCATTAGTTCCCCAGTTTCAGATCTATGTATATACATATATACCTGAAATTATACTTATAGTATATATTTAATTTAATAATTGCATTAATCTATGAATAATGTTCCTTTCAAAATATAGTGTATAACTTTTTCATTTGATCCTCCCTTATATTTTTAAAACCTTGCATTGTAGAACCTTTACTAGTTTTGTTACAGAAAAGTCAGTGGAACCAACTCACTGGCATTTAGGGTTAAAATGCCGGCACCCAAGGTGGGCAGAAAGGCACTGACTGGCCCAGCTCAGTCCAGCCGTGTGGGCTTTTGGATCTCATAGACCTGTGTAAGGGGCGTCGCTGTCACTTGTTCCTGGGGTGTCCGTCCTGCCTCCCCCCCTAGCCACATGAAAGCCTGTTGGCCTAGGTCCTCAGAGAATGTAGGGCCCTCTTCTTCAGAAAATTACTGAGGGTGAAGCCCTCCAAGAGTCAGAAGGGGGTCCTTCCAGATTCCCACCCCACAGGAAGAGAGAGAGAGGAGGGTAGAGAAGCAGATAAGAAAAAAGGGTAGGTAGAAAACGTGAAGGGAAAGGAGATCAGAACGCAGAGCATCCTGGAGGTTCCGGAAGAAGGATCAGCTGCCTTGCTGGCAGGAGCCAAGCAGGAGCCAGGGCCCTCCGATGACAAGCTTCTCCTTCCCCAGGGACGGTCACTGGTGGATGCTGTGAAGGTTAGCCAACTGCACTGACTGAGAACGGTCCACGAGACCGCCCTCACCTCTGACACCAGTGGCAAGTGTGGGGGTGCCCAAGACCACCCTTACGTTCAATAATTTGCAAGAGGGATGCACAGAACTCACCCAAACCTTCTATGTCACCTAAAGGACACAGATTAAAACTAGCCGAGAAAGGAAGGACATAGGGCAGAACCCAAGAGGGTCCCAAACACAAGGCTTGCAGTTCTCCTCCCCTGTGGGGTCAGGAGCTTTGGGGTTCCATCGTCCAGACACGGTTGTCTGCTTACATGGCTGACCTCATTGTCCAGCCCCTCAGGAGGTCCAGCTGGGATTTCACGACCCAAAGTTCCCACCCAAAATCATGTCATTACTATCAGGCAAGCCGGAGGAGGCTCCGAGGCCAAAAACAGACACAGTAATCAAGTACAACGTTCCGAGGCGCTGGAGATGACCTCCCAGAAGCTGAGGGTGGGGACCAGGCCTCTCTGGTCGGGGTCTCATTCTCTATCATACAGGTGTTGAGGCACCTGCGACCAGAGCAACACTGTGAGAACACAAAGACTGTTTCTCATGACCCATCTTATCAAGCAGTGTGTCTAAAGAGGAGAAACCCAAATGCCAAGTTCAGGAGCTTGGAAGGAAGAAGGGAACCGATGGAGGGAAAGTGGGGAAGGGCTCACCTCAAGGTTTTCCTGGGTGGGGAGAACCAGAGACTCTGAGGCTCTATGAGCTTCAGTTGGCAACTCCAGCGGCCCTTCCAGAATCTGACACAGTGTGGCCTTCAGTTCTGGGACCAGGCCTGCCTGTGAGGAAGGAGACCCACCAGAACAGAGCCACCCTATATGACATCCCTGTGCTGCCACCACAGGCAATAGGAGTCGCTGGTGTGGCCTGCTCGAGGTTCCACAGAATGGAGGCGTAGCAGGAAGAAACCTGGCATCTGGAACCAGACAGCTGTGCTTTAGGTCGCTGGCTTCTCTCAGATCCTCATCACCTCGATTTCCCATTAGTAACTCGGGGCTGCTGACTCTCCCACCAGTGGTCATGAGAATAAACCAAAAATCTGTACCCGCCACCATCCTACAGAGATGAATGAAGTTATGATAACATCGAAACTCACATTTCCTGCTCTCGCCCTGTTGATCGTGTGTAATCATCTACGGTGACGGGCCGGAGGTGCCAGCCACCTGGAGCTCTGTTCCTGGCCTTCCCAGGCTGCAGCCGGGGCCATTCTTTAGTGGTGTTTCCTAGCACTATTCGGGCCTCACCTCTTGTTGGGTTTCCATCTCCTTTTGGAAGGAATGGGAGCCACAGAGCCAGCTCAGCAAAAGCAATGGACTCGATCTACAGAGCAACATGGCCAAGCTCAGGAAAGAACCCCGGCATCTAGAGGTCTGTAGGGCACTGGTCGGGGCAGTGACTTGCTATTGAAATCCCTGCACTCCTACGCCTGGCTCCTCAAACCTCTCCTTGACCAGAGCTGCTCTCTGGGCCCAAAGGAGCCAAGGCTGCCCCTTAAGTGGCCATGGCTCGGAAGCTGGCCTGTTGTACATACGTATGGGGAGGGGTGGGGACCGAGGGCAGGGGTTTCAGCTGGGACCCAATGCCAGGCAAGGCCTCTGGTCCCCAACCTGCAGTTGTAGGGGTTAAACCCAGCACACCCCCTCCCTAACCAGGTTATTTCATTTTTTAGATCTCACTTGGGAAAACTTCTTCTTTCTTGGCCTGACCACACTGCTCAGATGCTTCTCCTCTGACTCGTGGTCGGCCACAAGGAGCCCCCCAGGGAATCACTGGGGACTCACACGCCCAGGCAACCGGGCCTGGGTGGGGCTTCTAGGTGAGGTGGAATGGAACAGCCCGGGGACCCGCCGGGCCTTGGACACCCTGGACAACACTGAAACCTGTTGTTACCCGGAAAGGTCCTTTCAAGACTGCGCTGGGACACGGATGGCGGGAACAAGATCCAGCCCCCGTCACGGACAGCTCTGTGGACACCCCGTCCCATGAGCAAGCAGGGGAAAGGGATTGTCCGTTCAGAGATCTTGAGTAGGCCCTGGCCCTTCCCTGAGCCTCAACGTCCCCACCTGTTCAAGGCGGGTACAGCTGGCCGCTTCGGCAAAGCAGGGCAAAGAAGAAGCAATTCCTGTTCTCTCCACTGAACATGGCATCTCCCACCACACAAGAGCTTTACCAGGATAGGCCTGACTCTTGGATGGAGAGTCCCCAGAGCCTGAGGTAATAATCCTGGTGCCTGCCCGCCTCAACTCTTCCGCCCCCACCCCCGCCACTAGAGGGCAGAGCACAGGCAAAGGCTGAGAGTGGACGCTGGGGCCTAGACTGTAAGCTGCTGCCCTCTAGTGGGCACGGAGGAAGGAGAGAACAGGACTGGAGGACAAGGGAGGGAGAGAGCACAGCAGGGGGAGACAGAGAGGCCTCAAAGCAAAGGACTGGCAGGGGGAGGTGGCGGCTGGAGGACGTGGGACCCGGAGGGAGCTGCAGGAGAGGCCGCCCCTGCGAGCGTCCCCATGTCCTGGCCAGCACTATTCCTCGTCATGCGGTCAGCATTTCCCCTTGATGGGTGCATCAGCCACCGAGAGCTCCATCGGGTTGTGTGTGGCCGGGGCTCTCACCCAGCTCCAGAGCTCCGGCCAAGTCGGTTTTTGCTGATCTCTTCCACGTGCCTCCTCTTTCGAGGGCCCTCTGAGGACCAGCTGCCGGATGAATCAGGCAGGCAACTGATGGGTCACTGCCCTGTCAGTGCCTCTGACTTCCACTCCGCTTTTATGTTTTTGCTAAATCTGTATTTCTGTCCTTGACCTTCGTCCAGGGCTTCAGGCCTATACACCCACAGTCCACTGGATGCCCCACCTTCTATCCCTTAGACACCTCAAACCCAGCGTGTACGAGATAGAACCCATCACCTTCACCAAACCCACTCCTCCTAGGAGCCCTACCATGTTCCCTCACTGTGTCAGACACTGTGACAGGCCGCCAGGAATGACGGGCGTATCCCTCCCACCACTGGGAGTGCTGCTGGCAGGGACCCTGACTGTCGGCATCCCCCGGGGTTTCCTCAGGTGCAGGGAGCCACCCCCACCGAGACCCCTCCTTCCCTGGGAGGGTCCCCTCCGGCGCCTGGTCCCCGTGGGAACTTGGAGGCCAGCCCCAGTACCCAGGCTGAGCTTTCCAATGAGGCTGCCCTGTGGCTCAGTCGGGCCGTATTCCCAGTCCTGCTTCCTTCCCTTCCCTCCCACGGGGATCCCAAGAGAACTGCCTAACCAAATTGTGGAATGTGAATCTCTGTCCCAGAGACATTTCTCCAGGGAATGCCATCTGTAGCCCCTGGTCACCAGGGCTCAGCCCCTGAGAGCCGAGGCTGACATGGCCTCCTCACCCACAGCCAGGAGGACCAGGCCAGCCCTCCTTCGCTGGGAGTCTCAGATCCATCCACGCCCCTCAGACCTGCCCCC